GAAACCAAGACTAGTGTTTTCTCTGCAGCCTGGTCGTCCCAGTGTTACAGGGAAGGGGTCCAGATCCAGACCCCAAGGGAGAGTTCTTGGATCTCTTGCCAGAGAGAATTCAGGGCGAGTCCATAGAGTAGAGTGAAAGCAAGTTTATTAAGAAAGTAGGCTGGGCGCCGTGGCTCATGGCTGTAATCCCAACACTTTGGAAGGCCGAGGCGGGAGAATCACCTGAGGTCAGGAGTTCGAAGCCAACCTGGCTAACATGGCGAAACCCTGTCTTTACTAAAAATATAAAAATTAGCCAGGTGTGGTGGTGCATGCCTATGATCCCAGCTACTCAGGAGGCTGAGACAAGAGAACCTGGGAGGCAGAGTTTGCAGCGAGCTGAGAATAAAGAATGGCTACTCTGTAGACAGCAGCCCTGAGGGCTGCTGGCTGCTCATTTTTGTGGTTATTTCTTGATGATATGCTAAACAAGGGGTGAATTATTCATGTCTCCTCCTTGTAGACCATACAGGGTAACTTCCTGACATTGCCATGGTGTTTGTAAACTGTCATGGTGCTGTTGGAGTGTCACAGTGAGGACAACCAGAGGTCACTCTTGTCACCATCTTGGTTTTGGTGGATTTTAGCATCTTTACTGCAATCTGTTTTATTAGCAAGGTCTTTATGACCTGTATCTTGTGCTGAACTCCTCTCTCAACCTGTGACTTAGAATGCATTAACCATCTGGGAATGCAGCGCAGTAGGTCTCAGCTTCCTTTTACCTAGCTCCTATTCAAGATGGAGTTGCTCTGGTTCATACCCCTCTGACACCAGCACTACTATAGCACTGGACTCATAAAATGACCAGATAGCTGCTAGGATGAAGAGTGAGTAAATGAGGGAAGTACAGAATCTGCATGTAATCAATGAAGAGAACTAGTCAATTGTTTCTGTTTCCTTGTTCCTGCTTTACATACAAATTGGTAATTTCGGTTTGTTTTGAACTGTTTAGGAATAGCAAGGCCGAAAGACATTTAAGACACCATTATTGCTTTAAGAGATATAGTTGTATATACTACTGTATATATACAAGTAATTCTATATTGTTTTCCTGAGTTGGATTGTCCTTCCTGAAATAAAATTATTTCACACTATCTGTCCAGTGCATAGAGGCATTGCGGCATAGAGGCTTTGTGGCATCTAGTATGTGGTAGACAAAGATGAATGAGGTATAGATGATGCCCCTAAGGGGCCAACAGAGGAATTAATAAACATTTTGTGGATAATATTATTGGTTCACAAATATTAATATCATTGCTTTTGATAGCGTTTTAAGCAAAGTGCCTGGGGGTTTTACTTTTGGAATCAGGCAAATAAAACAATTTTAGGGTCAGGTGCAGTGGTTCATGCCTATAATCCCAGCACTCTGGGAGGCTGAGGCAGGTGGATGGCGTGAGCTTAGGTGTTTGAGACCAGCCTGGGCAACATGGCAAAACCCCATCTCTGCAAAAAGTACAGAAATTCACCAGGCGTGGTGACCTGCACCTGTAGTCCTAGCTCCTTGAGAGGCTGAGGTGAGAGGATCACTCGAGCCTGGGGAGGTGGAGGTTGCAATGAGCCAAGATTGTGCCACTGTAGTCCAGCCTGAGCAACAGAGCGAGACTCTGTTGTCTCAAACAAAACAAAAGAAAGAAAGAAAACCAGGCCTGGCGCGTTGGCTCACGCCTGTAATCCCAGCACTTTGGGAGGCCGAGGCGGGCAGATCACGAGGTCAGGAGATCAAGACCATCCTGGCCAACATGGTGAAACCCTGTCTCTACTAAAAATACAATTAGCCAGGTGTGGTAGCACATGCCTGTAATCCCAGCTACTCAGGAGGCTGAGGCAGGAGAATCGCTTGAACCCGGGAGGCGGAGGTTGTAGTGAGCTGAGATCATGCCACTGCACTCTAGCCTAGGCGACAGAGCAAGACTTCATCTCCAGAAAACAAAAAAAAGAAAAAAAAATTTAGTATGAATTCTGAGCATTTATATTCAGAATTTGCAAACTTCTACTGTCTGGGAATACTTTCTGCACCCCTTTCTCTAATTTTTAAGTACTCAATGTTAAGTCAAGAAGTATATTAGAAGTTTGGGGCACTGAAAAGGTGTTATAGGCAGAATCTAAAGATAGGCTGTATATAAGCACATTTTGTTTCTCCCTGACAGTGATAGGAAATGGAAGGTGTTTCAATGAGGTACTTTGGAGAAGAAATGCTTATGAAATAAAAACTACTTTATTGTCCTGCCTCCCGTTCTTACTAGAATAGGAGACCTCTAAATGATAATGCTATCACTGAGTAGTTTTACAAGTTGAATCTGAACAAACCATTGTATCACTTTACTAAAATTTCTTTATTTCCTTTTCTTGAACATTTGTGTTTTTTCAGAATTTTTATTTTCCTATTGTAAACACTCTGATTTATATTCTCATAGTTACATTTTTTACATTCTGTGATTATAACTTTGGAATAGATTTTAGAAGTAGATTTGCTGGGAAAGGTCGTAGATATTTTTAGGACTTTTTATGTATATTGACACATGGTTGTAGGGCAGTGTCGTCCAATAGAGCTTTGTTTTGGAGCAGTTCTGTCTGACAGAAACTTCTGTGGTGATGGGATTAGTCTATATCAAATTATTCTAAAGCAGTGCTGTCCAGTAGAGCTTTGTTCTAGAGCAGTGCTGATAGAAATTTCTGTGATGATTAGAATATTCTGTTTCTGTGCTTTTCAATATGTTAGCCATTAGCTACATGTGACTGTGGAGCACTTGAATTGTGACTAGGGGCAACAGAGAAACTGAATTGTTAATTTTATTTTGCTTTAATTAACTTTGTCACCTTAAATAGGTGTATGTGACTGGTGGCTACAGTATTGAACAATGCAGGTGTAGAAAGTTTAAATTAAATGACATTTTCATTAGCAATATGTGTGTCTGCTTCCTATGTCCTTTTCAACATGAAATTTTTTAAAAAATAAAATCTTGGCAATTTGATAAGTTAGAAAGCCTTATCTGTGTTATTTTATATTATTATTATTTGTTAGTGAGGTTGAGTACCTGTGTGCATTACATTTTTATTGTTATTCTATTATTTTTCTGAGACAAGGTCTTGCTGTGTCATCTAGGCTGGAGTACAGTGGCGCCAACATGGCTCACTGCAGCCTTGACCTCCTGGGCTCTAATGACCCACCCATCTCAGCCTCCCAAGTAGCTGGGACTACAGATGCATGCCACCATATCTGGCTAAGTTTTGTATTTTTTTGTAAATATGGATTTCCTCATGTTGCCCAGGCTAGTCTCCAACTCCTGGGCTCAAACAATCTGCCCTCATTGGCCTCCTGAAGTGCTGGGATTATAGGCATAAGCCACCACACTCAACCCTTGGGCATTACCTTTTTAAAAATTAATTAACTGTCTGCTTTTGCCCACTTACGCTTTATGGTGTTAATCTTTTTCTTATTGCTGGTTTTTTGTAATAATATTAGTAACATTTGTCTCATATTGTGTATATTTTCCCCAGTTGATATATTTTTGTTTACATTCAAATTATTCTAGAGAACATAAATATTTTTAATAAATAGGACAAACATTTTCAAAGAAACTCTAGTTATATTACAATAGAGGAGGTATTGAGGAGAAAAAGAGATTGAAGAATGAGGAGAAAAAGAGATGAAGAAAGAGACTGAGACATATCTTACCCCCAGGGAAAGGATGGAGAACATCTGAATTGTGGTAGAAGAGGAAAGAAGACCACCAGGGAGGGAGAAAGAGGTAGCACTGGAGGCAGAAAGGACAGAAGAAGGAAATAAGAAAGTAAGGAATTGCTGTCTAGAGGTAGGAGGAATATAGTATAATATGGTTTTGAATGCTAGCTCTAGGTGTTGGATGATTCTCATTCTCCTTTGAAATAATAGCTTGAGGGACCACAGCATTCCAATTGCTCTTTTTCCTTAAATCAGAAGAAAACTTTTGTCACTCTTCTTTGCACTGTCTGTAGGAACCAGGGCAGGATCACTGTCCACAGTGAAGATCTAGTTGGGGCATTTCTTTGTTATACAGTTCAACACAGAACTCTAGGAAAGAAATAGCATAGGCCGGGTGCGGTCGCTCACGTCTGTAATCCCAGCACTTTGGAAGGCCAAGGTGGGCGGATCACCTGAGGTCAGGAGTTCGAGACCAGCCTGGCCAACATGGTGAACCCTGTCTCTACTAAAAATACAAAAAAAAGAAAAAAAAGAAAAAAGTTAGTTGGGCATGGTGGTGCATAACTGTAGTCCCAGCTACTGGGGGGACTGATCCCGGAAGGCAGAGGTGGAGGTTGCAGTGTGCTGAGATCATACCACTGTACTCTAGCCTGGCTGACAGAGTGAGATTCTGTATCAAAAAAAAAAAAAAAAAAAAAAAAAAAAAAGTATAGTGATTCCACTGAATAATTAAGCATAATAATTAATATTCAGCCAGAGTCTACGTCAAGCCAAAAAGTCTCAATTTAGGCCTTGCCTTTTGTCAAGACTTTAAACTATTGGGTAATCATGAACAAGTCTTTTATCCTTGTTAAGTCTTGGTTTCTTATTCTACAAAATGGGAGTAACACTACCTACCCTCCCTCTTATGGCTGTGAAGAGCAAATGGGACATACATATGGTAAAGTGCTTTGGGAAATTCAGTGCAAGGACAAGGCTGAGGTTAGACAACTTTGTGATGGTGGTGGTGGTGATGAAGGGTTATGGGACAGAGGGGCAGAGGGCATTTGTTTAATGGAGGAATATTGGTAAATGCAGTATTGGGAAGAGACCAACCTGACAAGCAGATCTTTAAACATTTTCTTACAGAGAGCCTGAAGTTTCCAAAATTTAACAAGAAACTTTGAATACACTGAACCATATCTTTTAAATATCTCATTTTTGTTTATATCCATGACCACAAGGTCATCTATTCATAGATTTTACCAACCTTATCTTTATATATATTTTTTTCTTCCAGATGAACGGGACAAAGTTCAGAAGAAAACATTTACAAAATGGATAAATCAGCATCTCATGAAGGTCAGTTTTTATTTCATTCACTTCCTGGAATTGTTTTGAATATTTCAGTTTATTTTGCAGTAATTGATTATATAGTTCTGAAGCACAGCTTTTGAAAATCATCTTGAAAGTTTAAATTCTAGAGAATTTTGCATGCATTTTAGGCATCTATAATTATTTGGTGTGTGAACGGTGGGTAATGATGGAAGTGGAAAGATAAGTACCCAGTGATTGCAGTGCATTCTGTGACATTAGTAAAACCTGTTATTGAAATTTATAAAATCTCAACAGTTTCAGAAGTCTGTACATATTTATATGTTAGTGTATGGAAAACCTACATTTCTTAGTAAGATTTTTTCTCTCTCTCAAGATTCAAACCAAGTTCTGGCATCAGATTTATGTGGATGGCAGAAGGTTAGATGGGAATAAAGATATTGTAGAGACAGAAGTCTAGACTAATTTTATTCTTATACTTAATTTAATCCAGTAATTGGTGCTTATGTTTAACTTTCTCTATGAAGCAGTTAATGGTTGTGGTTCTTAAATTAATATTTACTTGTGTACCATGGGTAATTTTGAGAATATAAACTATCCAGAAAATAGATAGACACAAAATTTGCATATAATTTCATGGAGTTACTGGACCCCATTGAAGCCCTTCTGTAAATCTTGTGTAGGGAACCCTTAGGATTTCACAATAAACTATTGGTCACTTTCCCCTTTCTCCCACCTTTTATGGAGAGCCCTAAAGTTGAAATAGGTCATGTTTCTATTTGGAGTTTTCTCGCATAGAAACATTATTTTAAATATTTAAGCTAGCCAACAAATCTTATTTAAACTATCATGTAGCTTAAGAGTGGTACCAGTAATGTAAATAGCATCTAATCATCTTCTGTAAAAGAGATTTTTATTTCAGGGGCATGTCAGAATTACCTTAGAGATGTGTCAGTCCTGTCTCTCTCACCACTTGACAGAACCTTTTTCTCAAATTCTGATAATATCCCTCAGAGAGGGCACATCACCCACTCTCTGGCTGAGAATCACAAGCGATAAAAGGTTGAGACCCTCTGCTTTGTGAGGAAATACATTGTGAATTCTGATGTTGCATGTGGCAGTTCATCTGTCCTCTCCCAAGCTTTTCTTTCATTCTGCACATACTGTATGGGAGAGGATCTCTTCCTTACAGGCTAGGACACCTCTGTAAAGTTTGGGGTGTGGACGTTTGGAGCTGAAGACTCCATTGGGATTTTCCTATCCCTGAGGTGGCTTTAAGGGAAGCAAGCTCTTTGAAGAGGCACCCCCGTGGCTGCTGCTGGCCTAAGCAGTCTTTGTAGCTATGGAGATCTAGGGGTGGGCATATGTAGGGAAGCAAAGAGGGTTGCTTCGTATCTTCTGTAGCTACTGCGGTTCCAGATTGGTAATCAAGTCACAGATGCTGGCAGTGGACACCAGAGAAAAGTAGAAGCACAAATGAAATGGCTTATGGGAACCATGTCTCTGGCACTAGACATATTTATTGGGGACCTACTGTGTGCCAAGCATGTTGGACTTGGCCTTTCATTTTATGAATGGTTCTTAAATTAGATGATTTTAGTATAAAGAGACTGCTTTTGCTAAAAGCGTCAAAATACTAGTTGAGCTGTTTGAGGACAGAGGCTGTATTACTTATTCCGAGGGCCCATCATAGTGCCTGGCAAGAATATTCTCACCATGTTTAATACACGTTGCATACATTAAATTGTTGAGTCCTTCCAGCAGCCCTTCGAGGTGGCTTAATGTAGTGATTACACATACATAGTCTTTAAAGTCAGACAGCAAGTGATCAAATCTTGATTTTCCTGGAATATGTACCTTTTTTGTTTTGGCAAAATGACCTCCTAGATAGATCTCCAAGATAATAAGACTTAATTCTGCTGTAACATACGAAGAATTGGGAAAATAAGTATTTTAGTCACAGTAGCCAATAGATAGATATATGCCAGTCTAACTGCTTAGGGTTGTAATCAAGTTAGTTTGTTTCCTGAAGTCTATTATGGGTCAGAATTTAAAATTAGCCCTTATTAGATGGGTCAGAATTTAAAATTAGCTCTTATTAGATAAGGAGCCACTTTAGGGAGGGGGAAAGCCGGACAATATGGTCTTGGCTAACTCACCCTGCCAGTTAGGTGCTTAAGTTCTTGTTCTGTTTTATTTTAGTGTCAGCTCAGTGTGGACTTTTAATCCTGAGTTGTGCACTAAAATTTCTAATAGAGAACGCAAGTGTGTCAGAACATAGCTTCTTATCTTGCTTTTTTTTTTTTTTATGTCTAGAAGTTATAGCATTAACCTCAAGTGAAGAAAAATGACTAAATATCCCAAAACATTTTGGGGTACCAGGCTGCTAAGGTTCGTGTTATTATTCGTTAATCAGAAAAAATTCAGTCTTCATGGGATTTTTTCTACGCTGGACCTAAAATTGGTGAAAGGAACGTTGCACTAGGCAGTCAGCCTCATTTTGTCTGACTTAGAGGAGTGTTGAACACTTTTGTTTGGGTGGCCATTTGGTCATAATGCAGTTAGTGGGACATATAAAGTAAATATATAAATGTTGGATAAAACATCTTAATATTAGGAAAATATTTTTTCTGTATTGGTTTTCTTATATTCTTTACTTGGAATGATGAATATATTCAGGGTGAAACAGGGAAAGGTGAAGAGTAGGTCCTATATCTTTCTTGGGGCCTACCATATTCCTTTCCAATTAATGACAAATGTGTTGTTTGAAGAGCTTTTAATAAAATGGGATCATGTTATATGCATGTTAAGGGAAAGGATAATCATGAAAAAATGAGTTGATAAAATAAAATACGAGGAGTAAGGAGAGAAGAAATGGGAGTAGGATCATTCAGATAAAAATATTTCTATGTGTATTTTTTTGTTTTGCGTTTTTTAACTGTAGGCATAAGTAGTCTTTAAATCATGGGGCAGAGAAGGGAGAGAAAGGGAGAATTGGAGATGCACATTGGATGGCCCTCAAGGAGCCCTGTACCTGGGTCTGGAGACCCTTCGTTCTTGTCCTTGGCTTTGTGTTCTGTAATAAGTTGCCTGGAGTGCTGACTCAGGCTAGGGATGTGTTCCCTATTTTTTAAATAATTCTTAAAAGTTTTGTCTTTTCTGAATTTTTATCTTGTTAATTTAGATTTAATATTATTCACTTATTTCCCCCTGCCTTTTTCACCCTTGTCATGACTCCAAGAACTATTCTTGTTTGTTCTGTTCCTTTGGACAGTGAGGTGCTTGAGGGGTTAGTCTCCAGACAGGCCTTTCTTTACTGGATTTTTGTTTTTTTCATTTTTGTAAAAGGTATATTGTGTTAACTTTGAACAAATTATCTTTGAAAGGAAAACGTCTTTTGCAAGGTTATCAGTCTGTGACATGTACACCAAACAGAGGTGCAGAAAAAGCCTCACCTTTGAGGTCAGGTAAATGGGGATGTGTCCAGGCTTTGCAATTCATTATTTGTGTGAACTTAATCTCTTTATGCCCTCATCTGTAAAATGGTGGTAACGCCAGCTTGGTGTGAGGATTTAAATGAGATAGTCTAACTAAGCATACAGCATAGCGCTTGGCTTATTGTTAGGCACTTTATTAATGGGAGCTTATGGTGTAGAAGGGTGGGTTGACTTGGATGGTGTCAAAATTGTGAAGTTAAGTGTAAGTTGCTTTTGGTGCCTATCTACTTCCCTTATCTGTGTCTCTTTTTATTACATTGAGTACTTTTTCTTTTAGTTTATTCATTTTAGAAAAAGTTACAGTTTGGGGTTCAGAATCTTTTTGAGAAGATTAATAGGTGTGTTGCCTTTTTACCTTAGAGTCCTGCTGGGACACTGAATGGCTTACCTGTGGTAATCCTGTTAGCTGCGCTCTCTTTGCCCCTGCCTACCCCTCCACAGATTTTTAAAGGTTTATTTGGGGGCCTGGAGTCCTTTTTTAAATCTCCTTTTCTTCTTCTCCCGCACATTCTTCTCACAGAAAGGGAGTCAATGAACACTCATCATACTTCTGAAAGGTTGGCAGCTTTTGGACCTCAAAGTTAATTTTACTTAGAGTCACACTTGGATGGCATCTTCCAAATCTTCTGGTTCAGTTCCCTCATTTAAAAATAGGTTAAACTTGCCACACAGCTACTACTGGTAGAGCTGCACTAGAAGTTGTGAAATGAGAATATGAATTCGAATGAGATGCTGTGTCCAGTGTTTGACTTCTTTGAGCACTGCAATAGGTCGCAGATCCCAGCAGGTCCCCCTTGGATGTGGAGTTGCGTTTACTTTTCTTACCTTCTAGTTTCAACTATTTGCTAATTTTTGTGACTTGGGTAGTTGTGATTTATGTATCTATAAAAAAGCATATATACCGTGCTCAGGGTTGATAGTGGCATGGTCAATTTTTAAAACTTTATATAACTGGCAAAAGTAAACATTGTGGAACTTTTAAATGATTGCGTAAGTTACTGTTACATTTATATGCATAAATATTTTCTTCTTAAAATATTTGGTGAGGATTTTTTTGCTCTTTGATATAGCTTCTTTTACTGTTTTTTTTTTTGCTTATTTCAAAAGCATGCTTATTAAAAGGAAAAAAGTCAAAATTATAAATGTTTTTGGAAAATCAGTTAGAAAAACAAAAGCATTTATTAGAAAAAGTTTTCCTGAAAACTCTGGCACAAAAGCTTGAAAAACAACCTATGATGTACCAAAATTACCGATACTTGAAAAAAAGCCATAACTGGGGGATATTCCTTTTCAACCAAATGGCTGTTTAGCCCAAATGGTCGTGATGATCAAATTGCTTTTAACCGAGTGTATGCCACTCTATAGTTTCAAACCATGGTCTCATTTATGTTTAAGCTTTGCATGTGTTTCTTCCTTAGAAGAGGGTCCCTTTGGATCTCCACTTTCATCTGGCTGATTAGTGAAGAATTAACTAGCACTTGTGAACTAGCACCCATTAAAATTAAGAACGTGGAACCTTATTAAAAATTT